TAATTACACAGGAGCAGATCCTTCTGACACTGTATAAATTATCCCTTAAAGAATTGAGTTTGCCGGGTCAAGAAATTACAGTGAAGGAATGTGATTGTTGCTTCTTTGAAGCTTCTTTAGATAGAGATGAACTTTGATCTGCATATGATGTCAGTTAAATCAACCTTTGCAAGTAAAATGGGGCTCCTGTTTTCTTCTGTGTTTTATTGTAATTGTTGATGAAAAGAAATGAAAATAAATACCTTTTTTTAAACTTTGCAAGTAAAAGAAAAACATGTGTTAATGCTCAACCTCTTAGTGATGCTTAGCCCAAATCAGTCCTAATTAATTCCTTCCTCCCCTTCTCTTCTTTGCTATTATGCTGCTGATTTTTTCTAATTTCTATTTTTATACCATTAATATTTAAACCTTTATTTTTGTTAGTATGTTCCCTTATTTTTTAGTTAGGCATTTGAAAATGAAAACCCCTTTATTTCATTTGTAAATACGTTTGCTATGTTGTAATAGAACGAAAATGTTAATTTCATTATCTGAAGTTGAGCTAGAGGTTCCTTAAATGTAAATTTTCTTGTTCTGCTGTATTTATTTGGTCTGTCCTGTCCAGTCTACATTGAGGCAGAAAAAATCAGAAGGAGGATCCCAATAAAGGGGCGATGTAGGAAGGAGTGCTATGTGGATTCTGGTCTTTTGCATCTGTCTTCATTTACGCATGGTGGATCTGACTGATGATAATGCTAAAGAAAACACACGTAATTAGCAATAAAGGTTTGCACACCACTATTATCTACACCAGCCTTTTTCAACCAGCACCCTGGGGTGCCTTGAGGTTTCTTCAGGGGTGCCTTGGAAAAAATGTCTAAAAGTTGCCCAAAACTTGTATACAAGCAAATGGGTGGAACAAGCCTGCCTTTTAGCTACACAAAGTCACAGATGTTTCATTGTGCACCATTACAACCTTCTAGCCACCCACGTCCTGACAACCAATTACATCAGTTGATAAGGAGGATGTCGGGTACCTGCCCAGCATCCTTGTTTGACCCTCACCTACCCCTCTCCGTCAGTGCTGGGGTCATATTAGCTCAGTGATGGAGAAAAACTGAGGGAGAAGAGAAACACTGGAATACTAGTCAGTGCCAGCGTGCAAATGTGTATTTGCTTTGGAAGAATAAATCACCTATAATGTTGGGTGTAATACATGTGTAGATGTTGCTGCTTTATATAACACTATTAGAATAGTTTTTCACATTTTAGACTGGGGTGCCCTTTTAAAATTATGGACATTCTTGAGGTACCCAATTTTAGAATGGGGTGCCTCAAAACTGTCCATAATTTTAAATGGTACCTTGGGAATATCTATAATTTTAAAAGGTGCCTTGGGACTGTCCATAATTTTAAAGGGTGCCTTGACTGAAACAAGGTTGAGAAACATTGATCTACACCATTAGGCAATCAACAATAGATTATTTTTCAGGGTGTCTAAACCACCCCACAGTGTATCAATCTGTTAGTACAGTATTTGTAAATATATAGAGTAAGCACCACATAACAAATGCTTTAGCATTAAAGTTGTATTAGGCATATCCATAGAATTATATGGTAGGTACAAATATCCAAGTATTTCATATCACATCAAGCATAATACAGCATAGTTATTTGCTCTACTGTTACTTCCAACCAACACAAAATACATGCATGCGCATAGGTAAAGTGAGCACCACTAATTCATTTAGCAGCTGATGTTCAGAAATTTATACAGGAATTCAGTGCCCAAAATGGAATAATGAGAAGGATAACTGAGCCAGACCCTAGTGAAAAGAGAGAGGAGGAGGGAAAAAAAACAATGTTTCAGCAGGAGGTGCTTGAGAAAGGGGGTTCATACACCCCCAAAATGTTTTTTTTTTTTCCTCAGGTGATATGACATCAGCATGACGTGACTTCCAGGTTGGAGGAACTTCTAGTTGTGTTCCAGTCTGGAGTTCTCATGGAGGTGCTGGCTATCTTAATGAGAGCGGATGACCCCAAGATATTGCTATCATTTATGTTGTTCCACCATGAGATGAGGTTCAAATTGGATTGTCTAGGACCCTCCCCAGCCTGTGAATTACTAGCATACTAGCATTGCCATCAAGTAAATTGGTTTGCTTCTACCCTGTGATTACTTTTACTTCACTAATTTTTTTTTTTTACAATTTGAATTTCTAGCACTTTTCTCTCTAGGGAATAGTCATTTTGGGCATATTTACAGTTAATTAACCTTCCAGCATGTCTTTGGAGCGTGGGAGGAAACGTGAGCAACTAAAGTGTCCTGGTCAGGATTTGAACCAAAGACCCTAAGTCACCATTACAACAATTTGAATCAGAAAAGCTTTCACCCTAAAGCTAGCCATAGATGGATCAAATTTGGCCGGTTCAGCAGGGACTTGCTGAATTTTGATCCATCTATGGCTTTTCCTGTTTGAGAAGAGTTGATCTAATGATCGACTCCTCACAAAGTGGACTGTTGTTACATTATCATTCAATCAGTGCTTGCAGCCACTTGATCAGCTGCAATACTCATCAGTGTATTCTGATAGCAGAGGAGTCTTGATGTCAGAATACAATAGCACAGAGAGGAAGATTCCCCCTTTCGGCCCGTTTGTGTGGATGGGGGAATCTATTTAGTTTTTTACAATCAGCCTAATGATACAAATGATCTGAGTCATCTATGTCCATCTTAACTTCAACCTAACCCCTTTAAAAGGGGAACAAAATTTTACAAATACTCATGTCCACCTCATCGATGCAACATTCATGAGCTCCCTTGCCAGTACTGACATCATGTTCCGGGCTTGTTCTGGGTCAGGTTCTTTGGCTGTCTTCATTGTCTGGCACAGGATGTCATACCTCCTGCTTAAACGCACTAGCATTCGTTCATCTTGGCACCAAGGTGTGCCGGGAATGTACACTGAGCTGTGTATATTTTAAAGATGACTGTGAACAGGCAGTTTATTTTGTTTTATTGCAGAGAAGAAATTGCAAATATGAAATTTTTGATATTTCCCATTAATATACTTTATATTGTGTTTTTTTACAGCCTTAAGCTAAGATTTAAAAACATGAATGAAAAAGATCTACATACTCTAAGATATGGTTCATTAAAAAAGGTATATTAGCCACTCAGTCACTAAGGAGTTACTATGACTAACCCATATATATATATTCATTCTTTCATGCCAAAGTAATTTGCTATAGTATATCCTCCCTTGATTCCAAAATGATTAGAACCTCTTGAATAGTAGTAGAACTTAATGCTTTTTCCTGGATGAGTCAATGAATAATGTAATAAATAAGGGGTGTTGTTTAATCCCATTTTATTCCATAGTGCATACGAGTAAAAGAGCATTGTCTTAACTTGGTGTACAGAACATTAAGGAAGTTGCTGCACAGCAATCAGTGCTGGAATAGGTCTCCAAAGAAATAATAGCTACAAGCAGGGAGTGAGGTTTATAGAAAATTAACATTTCATCACACGTAGAATGTGCTTATTTCTACAGAATTGTATAGCCACAGACATCTGTGGCCATACAGGATGGCACATTAAACGCAGCCTAGCAAGAAGTGTCATTAAAATCTGCTCAGATGATATTAAAGCAGAACTATAAGCAAACATGAACAACCAAAAGCTGATTTCCAGGTATGTTTTTTTTCATAGTTACATTGGACCAAGGATCACTCAGGATCACTGTGGAAGCAAAGAATAGTAGTGGCTGCCACTACTACAGTGATCTCTACTGTTTTCTAGGTCCCATGCTGAGCGACTACCCTGCTTTATAGCAACCGCAGGACATTGCACGCTCGGCATGGGCACCATGCAGAGAACACTTTACTTGACTTTTCTTGATGAATGCAAAGCAGTTTTTGATTGGATGAGGTGAAGAAACAGGGCAGTGATTTCACAATCCCCACCTTGCCCGATCTGAGCATGTCCTGTATTTATTGAGAAAAATACAGTGCACTCTCTGAATGGCACCTATGCCATGCAGGCGACTTCCTGTGGTTATATGCAGCAGGGTAGCCATTTGGCACATCATCAAAGAGATAGTGAAGATAACTGTAGTGATTGCAGGTACTATAGTGATACTCCATGATACTCCACTTCCACTGTGATGCCACAGGTATGCAATATGCATACTTACATTGGTCCAACATGGACCAATTAATATAATGAATATTGCTGTCCACATGGACATCACAAATATTTATTGATCCAGAGTTATTTTAATGTGACTGACCCAGTGTGTGTACCATTGGGTCAGAGGGCCCTGTGTACCCCTGTACTGATGTAGTGTGTACCATTGGGTCAGAGGGCCCGGTGTAACCTTCACCAGATTTATTTGACATGTTTTCAAAAGATAATCAAAAAGTGTGGTGTGATGATGCATGATAAATAGGGAGTCTTTTGATATTGCCTCATGATCTCATTAAGGAAAGGAGAGAGAAGAGAGCGTCATAGCACAAAAATATCAGAATAAAACAAAGAGTACTCACAAAACAAGTGTTCTGCCCAGCAAAATGACAGCATTCAATATGCCTTGAGAACCACACCACTACAAAAACCTCTATCTCAACTTCCAGCACGTGTGGGCCACTCACGTGTGTGACAGCTTCACAGTACCTTGCCCAGTGAGTTTTATCACACTGAATGTTATCAGGATGGTATGGTGATGGGTTAATACATTTATTTTAATTTGTTTAAGTATTATATTTATGTGATATACTTCCAGTACATATCTGGCAGCCAGGTATAAATAGGTACTTGTACAAATTCTGGACTGTTATAGCTGATGGGAGCTTGTTTAAATGCCACCACTCGAATAGTTAAAGCAGAATTAAACCCTTTACCAGTACCAGTGCTGCTCAAAACATCTGTACCAATGACACATCAACATCATTCACAGTGTACCAGTGCACAACAACATCTGCAATAGTGTACCACTGCAAGATCAACATCTGTCTCTGTCACTAGTGGATCGTCAATATCTGTTGGTGTTTGTCTGTGTGTCACAGTGTACAAGTGCACAAAAACATCTGTCTGTGTACCAGTGTCCCATCAATAAAAAAATACAAAATTGAAAGCGTCCTCGTCCCCACATGCTCCTGTGCAAAGGTGAACACACGCGTTGGTCCTGTACGTATACATAACTGGCAATCGCATCACACATGTGAGGTATTACCATGAATGTCCGAGCGAGAGCAATAATTCTAGCATCAGATCCCCTCTATAACGCTAAACTGGTAACTTGTAAAAGTTTATAAAGCTTCGCCTATGGAGATTTTTAAATACCAAAGTTTGGAGCCATTTCACAAGCATGCACAATTTTAAAGCGTGACATGTTTGCTATCTATTTACTCGGCACAACACCATAGTTTATATTTTACCTAAAAACTGGGCATTATATTGTGTTTGTGTGCATTAATATTCAAATTAAAGTGTATTTTTTTGTTAGTTAGTAAAGTTGTGTTGAAATTGTGTTCAAAAACCATTGCTCAAATACTGTGTTACATAAACATTTGCAAAACCCACCATTCTATTCTCTAGGTCAGGGGTCCTCAAACTTTTTAAACAGGAGGCCAGTTCACTGTCCCTCAGACCGTTGGAGGGCCGGACTATAGTTTAAAAAAAAAAAAAAACTATGAACAAATGCAGACACAGTACAGGAGATGACCAGAGACTGCGGACATACAACGGCGGTGGAAATACTGGGCCAGCCGCTCCATAAGACGCACAGACATTTCCCCCCAAGTGTGTCTTATGGAGCAAAATAGTGCCCCATCATTGGTGTCAGTGGGAGCAATAGTGCCCCATCATTGGTGTCAGTGGGAAGAATTGTGCCCCATCATTAGTGTCAGTGGGAGGAATAGTGCCCCATCATTGGTGTCAGTGGGAAGAATTGTGCCCCATTATTAGTGTCAGTGGGAGGAATAGTGCCCCATCATTGGTGTCAGTGGGAAGAAATGTGCCCCATCATTGGTGTCAGTGGGAAGAAACGTGCCCCGTCATTTGTGTCAGTGGGAGGAATAGTGCCCCATCATTGGTGTCAGTGGGAAGAATCGTGTCCCATCATTGGTGTCAGTGGGAGGAATAGTACCCCACCATTGGTGTCAGTTCGAGGAATTAGTGTCAGTGGGGGGAGGAATATTGCCCCATTATTGGTGTCAGTGGGGGGAGGAATAGTGCCCCATCGTTGGTGTCAGTGTGGGGGGGGGGAATAGTGCCCCGTCAGTGGGGGAAGGGGATAGTGTCCCAATATTGGTGTCAGTGGGAGGAATAGTGTCCCATCATTGGTGTCAGTGGGAAGAATAGTGCCCCATCATTGGTGTCAGTGGGAAGAATAGTGCCCCATCTTTGTTGTCAGTGGGAGGAATAGTACGTCATTGGTGTCGGTGGGGGGGAATAGTGCTCCGTCACTGGTGTCAGTGGGAGGAATAGTACGTCATTGGTGTCAGTGGGGGGGAATAGTGCCCCATCATTGGTGTCAGTGGGAGGAATAGTGTCCCATCATTGGTGTCATTGGGAAGAATAGTGCCCCATTTTTGGTGTCAGTGGGAGGAATAGTACGTCATTGTGTCAGTGGAGGGGAATAGTGCCCCGTCATTAGTGTCAGTGGGGGGATAGTGTCCCAACATCAGTGTCGTGGGAGGAATAGTGTTCCATCGTTGGTGTCAGTGGGGGAGGAATAGTGTTCCATCATTGGTGTCAGTGAGGGGAAGGAATAGTGTTCCATCGTTGGTGTCAGTGGGGGGGAGGAATAGTGCCCAATCGTTGGTGTCAGTGGGGGGAGGAATAGTGTCCCATCATTGGTGTCAGTGGGAGGAATAATGCCCCATCATTAGTATCAGTGACACCAATGATGGGGCACTATTCCTCCCACTGACACCAATGACACGTAACTTGCTGACCCCTGCTCCAGCCTAGGTGCTACTGCAGCCAGCATACCTGGTTGCAGCAGCACCATAAGTACGGCACACTTACCTGTCATCTGTCCTTCTTCACTCCGACCTCTCTCTCACTCGATGTTCGTGGGGCCACTCGGCTCCGCCTCCTCGCAGGTGATTGGCCGCCTGTTTGCCTTTCCTGAGCTACAATTCAGGCGCCCAATCACCGGTGAGGAGGCGGAGCTGAGCGGCAGGAGTGAGGGAGTGGCCAGAGTGAATGAAGGAGCAGCGCTTCCTGGACTAGATCGTCATGGGACTGGGACCGGAGCCAGGTACGGTACAGCAGCCCCCTGCCCGCCCCTATACTTAGTGTCCCTTCCTGTCCCACCCCTGCCAGCGGGGCGGATAAATGGCCTCGGCGGGCCGCATGTGGCCCGTGGGCCATAGTTTGAGGACCCCTGCTCTAGGTCCTCTGCTAAAAAAATATATGTTTGGGGGTTCTAAGTAATTTTGTAGAAAAAATACTGAATTGTACTTGTAAACAAAAAGTGTCAGAAAAAGGCCCGGTATTAAAGTGGATAATGTCTGAAGGTACTCCTTGGATGTTGTATGTGGCCAGGCTGTAAAAAAGTCTCCCACATATGGTATTGCCATACTCAGAGAGTGTAGCAGAATGTGTTTTGGAGTGTAGTTGCAAGCAATGCATTAAGGTAAAAAACATTTTTAGGTTTAGTATCACTTTCATACTGATAAATATTAAAAGCTTTTTGTGAGTCTCTTAGTGAATGCAATCAATGAGCATACTATGTCACGCCCCCCCCCCAGAGTGTTTAACAATAGGAGGACATGGAGGAGGAGGGGGAGGGAGGGGGTGTAATTTACCACTATGTATACACCCACACATGTGTCTCCATAGTCATATGGGATTTTTTTCAGCAGGAACGTGGGGGAATGCAGTTTTGGTACCTCCAGCACTGAATGGATGTTATGAAAAGGGGTGCTGGGGGGGGTGCTGGAGGGTCTATTGATGCTGGCTGTTGGGAGATCTATTGTCACGGGGGGTATATTTTATTGTTGCGGAGGTCTATTGTTGCTGGTGGGGGATATATTGTTGCTGGGGGCTGTCTTATGTTGTTGGGAGGGATTTACTGTTGAGGAAGGAGTCTATTGTTGCTGGTTTCTGGAATGTCTTATGATACTGGCTGCTTGGAGATCTGTTGGTGTTGGGGGAGGTCTTTGTTGCTGGGGTGGTATTTTGTTATGGGGGGTCTGTCTTTGCTGGGGGATCTATTGTTGCTGGGGTAGGGTATTTTTTTTGGGGGGGTCTATTGTAGCTGGGGATAGTCTATTGTTGCTGGCTGCAGGGGATTATTGTTATTAAAAAATTCCATACAAATTTCTTATCACCTCAAAATGATACTTGGTTGTATATTCTCTAAAAGGTACTAGGAGGTGTATAGTGTGAGGAACCAAGGAACATTGCTCAGAGGTGGGAAGGGGGTGGGGACAAAAAGTGACTCAGTGCGAGTTCCTGAACCTATTCTCTGAGAAAAAAGACCTGGCTGCACAGATAAAAAAAAGGAAGAATCAAAGAGCTTAGAGGGGAACTGAAATATGAACATGCCCAGTAGAGGTCACCAGCTGGTCTATACAATCTCAGGCTTCAATGGGGACACAGAGAAGATAGGAGGGACAGCTGAAGGCAGGATCAACTAGGTATATTTCACTCTATACAAAACAAATGCTTTAGTGGCTTTGTGAGTATGCACACTCTAATATATAACAAAAATCAATAATAATTGACTCATCGCTGCAAATTCACTCTCTCCTTAATAATCCAATAGTGACTGTTTTGCTTACAATAATCAATATAGTATTCTTCTGAAAAAATAAAGCACCACGCATGTGTCCACACTCTTCTGTAGTAATTTCAAACACCTCGTGAAGTACCCTCCACTGCCATAAAGCAACTCACCTCAAATATATGACTTTATAATTTCGGTCAAAAAGTGCCCCTTTAAGGGAGATAATCACATTGTATTGACTTATTGGAGTCCTGTGTCTCCTCCATATGATTATATACTGTATATACTGAAACAAATCTGGAGAATATTTTAAAACATCACAGTATAATCCATAAAATAACTAAGTTTTAGAAGCAATAAAATAGCACAATAACTGGTGCACAACAGATACCAGCTTGTATGTTGCCCAGATCCACAACTGATGGTATGAGTTTAAGAGTCTGCAGCTTGTGGAAACATGAATGCTAATGTAGCACTATCTTGCCACTGTCCCCTTAAAAAGTAAACAGAGCTGTGCATAAAAGTATATTCAGAGACTTATACCTTCTGCCCAGATCTTATGTCCACTCCATACATCACCAGCTCCTACCCCTTACGCGTTACACCACCACTGAGGCTTCATCAGAAGGATGGTGTTATATGTGAATACAGTTGGACCCTAGCAGTAGCACGTATTACTCATATATATTCAAGTAAGTTGGTGCAGCGCTAAATAGTAATACACTTTAATATACACAATATCATGCCATTTCAAACATATGTGGATACGTGGTATCACCTTAAGGTGATTATTAGTGATATAATTAGTTCAATATGATTGTGTGGATCATGAAGAGATCACAATTCCAAGTGTGTGGACGTCCTGATCCGGGAGTGACAACAGGTGCAAGCCAAACGAATGGATGAAAAACGCACTCACCAGATGTGCGTTTAAAAATGCACAATAATTAATCCTGTGCCACCAGGCCATAGATAGGTCATCAGGTCTCGGGTCAGGATACCATACGAATCCCCATCCAAGCTCCACAGAAAAGGTCACCAGAATCCGCTACCAGATATCACCATCAGGGTCATCTTTTCTCCAGATGGGCACTGTGAATGATGACACTGCTTTGTTCGTAACATTGCCGGAATATTATTCTTGTCTCGGGTTTTCACTCATAGTACATGACACATAGGGGGGTGCAGGGCAGAGGATGCCTGGATTCCCCTCCCTGGGTCCTCCACAGCTCCCACTAGAAGAATGCAGCCGCAGATCCTCCACACTGACTTCCAGCTCTCACATTACTCACATTTACATATATTGTATAGTTGTGAAGGAGTAAAATGTCATTTTTTTAGGTGTCTATTATATAATATGTAATGAGAGTTTTTCGTAGTTTGGGTTTTATGACACTTTATTTCATTTATTTAAATGTGTTATTTGTTTTGAATTAGTATTGAAACCAATATTTTAACATTTTTTAAAAGCGGCACAGTTTTTTTTCTTCTTCTTCTGGGGCCCCTTGACTGCTCAGGTACTGTATAAGTATAATTATTCATAACTTCAGTTCATAAATTTATGCTGAACAGTTTAGTCCCTTATGACAACATGCATATGTTACACTGACCTAACAATTCTCTTTATTGTTTTTTTTGTTTACAGTTTACATAGCATTACCTCCTTATATTTACTTACAGTATATTCCACTGCCTGGGTGTATAAGCATTGTTACATTTTTTGTTTTTGGAGAAACCAATGAACACAGAAAGAACGATGCATTCAGTTTGAAGGACGTAACAAAGGCAGCCCAGAAGTATGAATTTTTCATGCTTAGCCTCTTTTAACACTTCCATTCCCAAGGTGCATGATGTAAAACAGTCACAGTCCCCCACCTCCCTCCCTCTTTCCAGTCTGGCGTGTTGCACTTGACGTTGCTATTTTGTATCTCCACTCAAGCAGGGGTAAAGGCCATATCCCTCAGCTTAAAACCTCAGAGCAACTTCACAGCCATGTCCTTATGCAAGCCTAGAATTAAATGACAGCATAGGCCTGCCGTTCTTCACCAGCTAATGAAAGGCAAGACACTTGAACCAAGTGGCCTGCTCTATCGAAGGCTTCCTAGCAAAATATGAGCAGAGTGAAAATCTCTGAATACAAAGCGAAAAAAACCACCTTCTAATTGAGACAATTTATCCTAATTACTTCTTTTAATATGAGGGAGGATGCACAAGGGATGTCCTTGATTAAATATAAAATGGCCCATTGCCGAGGATGGTTCTCATTTGTTTAAGGCAACATTAAGCAGCCCGCCCTCATTCGTGGGTAGATGCAGAAAAGTACAGCTTAGTTCATCAGTTTTTGCATGATTAATAAATATTAGAACCACAATG